GTCTCTACAGACAGATCTTCAATTCCTGGGCACCCCAGGATCTATCTACCACTTGTTGTGAAGAGCTCACAGTACTGTACATGCCGAATCAGTACCCAAGGCCCTCAGAGAGAACTTCTCAGGGCTGGGCCCATGTTCTGAGGGCCTTACAGCCTTCTAGGAGCTCTCTATTGAAACAGCCTGTTTCTACCACCAGCTGAGCAAGGGATGGCTGAATGGCCTTTCACTAAGAGCTGGGGGTAGGGTTTAGGGGGAGTCTCTGGGCCTCTGACCTGGCAGGAAAGCAAGGGGTTTTCAGTGTGGCTGCAGTCACCACATGGAGCCCACTTCTCACACATGGCAATTTCCCTGAGATAGGCAAAAAACCATGTGTGTACAGATGTAAACAGAGATGCTAGAATTTTAAAAAGATGAGGAAGTCCGTCAATAAGAAGAAATCGCTCTTCTAAAAATGGGGGCCAAACAGTTTCCAACTACAGGACTCCTCAGACGCAGGCAAGACTCCTAGGATCTTGTGACCGCTAGGCCCTGGTTTTGAAGAAGGTTATGTGAATTCCACAGCGACACTTAGATGATTAGTATTTATCATTATTATTGTTGTTGTTGTTATTGTTGTTGTGTGTTGTTGGAGTCAGAGGACAACTTCCTGTTTTGTTTTTGACAACATGGTTTCTCTGCGTAGCTCTAGCTGTCCTAGAACTCTCTATGTGGACCAGGCTGGCCTCTGACTCCCAAGTGCTGGGATTAAAGACATGCACCCCCACCTCTGGGCTTTGTTTGTTTATTTGTTGTTCTTCTTTTTCTTTCTGAGGACAACTTTCTGGTTTTCTCTCTCCATTGGGATTTCAGGGGCTTGAGCTCAGGTCAGCAGGCTTGCACCACAAGCACTTCTTCCTGCTGAACTGCCTCACTGGCCACAGCAGTATTTCCGAGCTGGGGACAATTGGTAGGCACTGCTAACCAGCTGGAGTGCTATCTGCATTGCCTCCTTGTGGGTCCTGTGGAAGGTCCCCCTGCCTGGCTGCCCAGGCTCCCCTCTGGAATACATAGCCATTTTAGAGAAAATATTAGCAGATGTCATTTGCTGTTTGTCATTGCTGTTCAACTTGCAGGCAGACTTTAAATTGCTTTTGGGTCTTCTGATATAGGACGTGGCTGTTGTCACAGACTTTAGGAAACATGGCCTTCTGCAGACACCCCATCAATCATCAGCAAAGAGAAACCACTCACTAGCAGGGGAAAGGGGAGTGAGGGACATTGCTTCTTAGGATGAGTAAAATTTACTGATAACACTTTTTTTTTAATTTCTCTTTTTTCTAGACAGTTCCTCATACCTCCTGACAGAAGACAGTAACTGTGTATGTAGTTTTTACTAGAGTTGAAGAAAATGCCTGTTTCAGGCTGGTGACATTTTTTTTTTTAAATGGAATCTGGGCCCTGGTGTGGTGACTTTCCAGGCTCTGGGACTATTTGGCTGAGGAACTGAGGTCAGCCTTAGAATCAAACATTGCTGTTGGGACAAGCCACAGACCCACCTGGAAGGCTAGGCTCTCTCTCTCTCTAAAAGCAGAAAAGCAGGGAAATGCTTCCTCTTTGTCTGTTTTATTTGTTTTTAGACCCTCTGACCCCCAAATACTGATTTGGTCAAATCAGAAATCAAGTAAAGACTCATGTCAAAAGTGGTGAGGTTGCTCCTTCCCATGGCCTGATGCCCAATCTTTATGTTGCAATTATTTAAGTCTCACCTATGTAGCCTTGGCTCTCTTTCTACATAGCAGGACTATGTGTGGTTAAAAAGTGTCAGGTTCTGCTGTTGTGGGGGTTCATGTATGGAGGAAAGCAGCAGGGGTGGATGACTATGCTCAGAAATCCCTGGGCCAGAAAAAGAGTCTTCCCTTCCTGCCAGCATTTCCCCAAGTGCTTGCAAAGGACCTTTTGTACCTTTTCCCTGATACGGTCAAAAAGTCTCCCTAAATCTTCCACAAGGAAACAAGCGCTGGTCACGTGCACCATAGTGAATTAACTGGCTTCTCTCATTTTGCAGAGACGAGACTGAGGAGACACTGAGGTTTCTAAGGATGAAAGCCACCAGCCTTTGTTTTCTGTTTCCAGAGCCTAACTGTGCCTACCTACCTTGGCAGGTGGGACTTAGCGTCCCAGAGCTGACAAACCCCATATGAGTGTGGGTGAACTCTCGCTTTGCCCAGGTTGGGGCCACATGCGTCATGACAGGAGGCTTCAGAGCCTGATAGTGCTGAACTGGATCTGAAACTCAGCTTCCCAACAGAGAGGCTGCCATTCCTTCCCAGGACCTCTGTCTCCTTATTAATCTCCAGAAGCTGGGAGAGTAATAGAAAAGGCTGGCTGTCACTACAGAAACTTAGTATGGAGTCTAGGCAGGCCTTAAATTTGCCATGCAGTCCAGGCTGCCCTTGAACTCATAATCCTGTTCCTTCAGCCTCCTGAATGATGGGATCCCAGGCATATGCCACCACACTCCCTAGCTGGGTGGCTAGTGAGCACACACTTTTCTTTTCTTTTCTTTTTCCTTTCCTTTCTTTCTTTCTTTCTTTCTTTCTTTCTTTCTTTCTTTCTTTCTCTCTCTCTCTCTCTCTCTCTCTCTCTCTCTCTCTCTCTCTCTCTCTTCTAGGAGGTCATTCCAGTATATCTCTCTTAGACCCTGAGGATTTACAGTATCTACACTGAACCACTAAAAACTCAGAACCCACCAATGCAGCCCCCATCTTATGTCCTTGGCGGACACTTTTATTATCTTCATACCCTGGCCCATAGAATCGTGAAAGAATTGTCAAGGTTCAAAATAAGTCTACACCTAGCTTTAACTGTAATGTAGCTGTCGTTTGTGATCTCAGTCTTGAAGTATGTGTCTACTCAGTGGGAAAGTCCTTTGGAAGAGCCAGCCTTGAGAGATAAAAGACTTCCCACTACCATGTGGGAACCCTCAGGCCCACCAGTCCTAGGATCCTAGTCCATGTGACCCTTCTAGGATCCAATGGATGGAGGCCCAGGGGGCAAGTCCCCTGTCTCCACAGACCTGAGATTCTGAGTGGCAGTTTCAAGAAGTCCTTATGCTACTTATTATTTCAGATTTCCTCTCTGATAGTAGCCCCTGAACTTTAAAGTACAGCACTCGGTGGCCTTGGGTGTCAGCAGTCCTGTGAGGAACCTAAGTGAGGTGCCCTATTCCCACTTCTAATGCTGCAGGCTGGGTTTGCCCTTCACCTTCCTACAGTAGCATGTGGAAGTGTTACCTGCTCCGGGGCCTGTCCTTGTCCTTTTCTGCCACAAGGTTAAGAACTGGCTATCAGTCAGTCAGTGGGTTGCAGTCCTGGCTTGGACGGGGCTGCTGTCTAAAGCCACACTTCAGACAGGGCAGAGCATAGTTCAGGGTTTAACAGCCAGTACAGAGAGACTCGAGAGATTCCAGTCCAATCTGCATTTAGGTCTATTCATAGCTTGGGCAGTTTTCTATTGTAAATCATGCAAATCTCCTGCAAACTGGAGTATTTGCCGCAAATAGGCTCTGAAGGGGTGTTGGTGGTGAGTGGAGTACTGTTTGTGCCGTGTGAGATCCGGGAGTCCTTGAAAGCATTGTGCTTCTGCATGAGACATTTTCATAGAGGCTCTGCATCCGAGCATCTCAGTGCCCTCCCTGAGAATCCTGGTCTTGCAAATGCTTGCAAGCATCCTCCAAGGCTAACAGGGGAGATGAAGAGGCTCAGCATTCCTTCTGTTGCCCTCAACTTGGGCGGCCTCTTCCATGAGGCAGCAGCCAGCAGCAGCTTGGCACATGCCCTTCCTTGCCTCCAGACCTACTCCCCACTTCACGAGCAGAATCGAGAAGGCCAATTTAATTGAATTGATTGCCACTTACAAAGCTGCGGCTACTCCTCCGAGAGGCCTATTTAAAGTTTCTGAACTACAGAGAGATAATGAAATAAAAAGCAACAGTGTAAGGCGATGGATGATTATCAAATTGCTCTGGGAGCCTTCAGTGTGAGAAAGATATAAAAGGAAGATTGAAAGGTATTAGTCTATAAGTCTCACTGAGGTCAGGAGGCTAGAGTCATTCACAAAAGACTTCAGAAACAAAACTTTAGAAAATACACAGGCACATACACAGCAGTCATATCAGATAACTGTGAGTTCTTATCTTCAATTGTACTCAGATCATTGGCCTATTTTAAATTCCTGTGGCACAGCAAACAGTCCTACATACTTGTGAGTTGTTTTTTTTTTTTTTTTAAATGCACGAGCTTTAAACTCATTTCTTACTTTAAATAGATGTATATTAACTCTCCGTTCAGTCTACAGGACCTCCTAGCCTAGTATAACAGCTCAACAAAATAAGAGTGGATACAAACTCTGTAATTTACTCACAGGCATAAATGGATATATAAATGTAAAAATGTGCACAATATTTTATGCCATGCTTGGCTTCATTGTGACCTAATATTTATAATATGTAAATAATGGCTTCCTTTTAAAGCAAAGAACTTTTAATATACAGATTCATCTGGAAGTCCCTTTTTTCTTTGATATAAACAGAAATAAAAAGAAAAAGTGTTCTTATGCAATAAATAAATACTCAACGACAAAGGTTTCCACTGAAGGGATTTAAAACGACAGAAGTCAACATAAAAATTTCAATATCATAATTCTACTTTAATATGAAGATATTGTTATCAAAGGGAAAGACTCCAGAAATTCTTTGATAAAAATAATCTCACACTATCTTTGAAGCGGTTTCATTTATTTTACTACCCACAGTGTTCCTTATCAGAAGGCCAAGGGTAAGAAGTTTCCTAGTTATGATTAGGAAAGAACCTGATAGATCAGAAGACCCAATTGAAGTTGGACATAATAAGCATTAAAGTATTACATGACATTAATCCTGCCATTCCATTACTCTCCCCATCCTTGTGCAGAGACTAATTATTCTGTAGCCAGTATTCAGGAGAAAACAGAAACATACTTACTGTGGGCTGGAGTAATCTCTTTATTGCATCAACAAGGCTGGCTCTGTACTGGTCCAGGAATAGGCTGACATTGAGAAGAGAGCACAATCCAGATTAAACTGGGCCTCCAAGCCTAATGATACCAATGGTGATAAGCACAAGGCTAATTACACATTTATATAACACTCGAGAAGGATTGTTCCCTTCCATTCAAGGGTCTTGCTAGGGGGAAATTTTAAAAAGAGATTGATTTTAAAAAGAGTGATCAGTTATCCAATGACTATCAGGCTGTCAACGCCAGGGTTCACACCTGACTGTGATGTGTTAATGTCACACAGACAATTTACAAGATGATTTTTTTTTTAAATGAGTGTCATCTGTTGGAGATGGCACACTTGGTACCTCTCCTTGTTAGAGCCCAGTTTCTAGTAGACCTGGGCTCTCTGCCTGCCAGGACCACTGTGAGGCTGTCCTCTGAAAAGCAAACTACCAGTTCCATGTACCTGAACCACTGGGGAAATATTGGTGGTGAAAGAGGATATATCTTAGTGATTTCCAACAGCTTGAAGGTAAGACCCAACCAACCAATGACCCAGGAGCCAACACCTTCCTAAGCAAAGCTCAGGTGATTCGAGCATGAGGCTGTGGTAACCCAAGGGTTTTATTCCTTGACCTCCAAGTTGATTCTTTCCTATCCACTGGGATTTTTTTTTTTTTTTTCTGCTTGGGTCTCTAGAGTATTTCTGTGTGGTTTTTGTTTGTTTGTTTATTTGTCATCTGTATGGTTGAGTTTCTCTGACCCCATTTTCACCACATCTTCTCTAACAGTTGGAATACAGTTACTTCATCTAAACAGATGTATCCACGACTCAAGTTTGGGTCACCTAGCAGTTGATGGCAAGTTAACTCACACAGTTCTATGTCTGAACGTATCTCCTCTACAGTCTTGGCCTACAGACTTGACCTCTGATGTGACTGTGTTGGTGCTATCTTGTTCTTCTGCTATAGAAGATACAGGGTCCCTCCCTATTGGAAGACTCAACATTCAAGGCACTATCTTAGAAGAAAAGATTAGGCACTTATCCCACCTGTGGGTCTCAACTCCTTTGGGGGTGGGCTGGCCCATTCACAGGGGTCCCCTACATTCATCAGAAAATACAGGTATTTCCATTATGATTCATAATAGGAATAAAATTACAGTTATAAAGAAGCAACAAAAAAATTATGGCTGGGGTCACCACAACACGAGGGGTTAAAGGGCTGCAGCATTAGTAAGGGAGAACCCCGGTCCTAGAGTCTCAAACTGGGATCCATATTTTTCTTTGCTTTATAAATTGTTCAGTCTGAGTTCTCCTGTAACCACATAGACTGCGGTGAGCTGGCAGAGTGCTTATGAAAGCCAAAACAAATTTCCTGTGGGGTTGTGGCATGGAGGGGCGAAAGCAGCCAGTGCTAGAGGAACACAGAGTAGAGTTCACTTCCAGACACTGCCGTGTGGTCCTCCTGGCATCTAAAGGAGGGCTCTGGGCACAGCTGGAGCGCCCTTCCAAGATAAAACAGCTTCTGGAGTGTGTCAATTCTACCGACTGGTGGGGCCACTTCTCTCTGGCCTCCACTGGAGGGCCCACTGTTTGGTGCGGATAAACCGTGCAGTTCAGGGTATGTGGCAGAAACTCTGAAACATGTACAGTTCTGGAGTGTCTTTGATGCCTTCTGTGTACCCGAGAGTACTAGCTCTTGGTAGGAAGGCTAACAGGAAGTGGAAGTGTGTGATTCAGGTTTAATAAAGTTCTGGCTTTGACCTTTCCATGTGACCTTGGGTAATTCCCTTTACATTAGGCCTCAGTTTTCTTGTCAATAAAGGCCCAACTATGTGGTTGTGGGGGACATCAAATTAATACATGTTAATTCATAATTGTCAACTTATGACATGAGAAGCAGTATTATGTATTGGGGCTAAGCTTTAAATAGACCAAGCTCAACTCCTAAGGAGCTTTCGTTCATTCATGGCTCACAGCATACCTAAATGGAACTGTTTTTCCATTGCCTGAGGCAGCTCATCATGGTCCTTGAAATGGAGAAAGTTTATATCCAGTGTCCACATCAGTGACTCTAAACACCTTGAGCACAGGCCTGGCCAGTGTTACTGGGCTGTATCAACATGTAAGTAGGACATTTGCCCACACAGGTGCTCTTCCCATGAGTCTCATTTTGAGAAGGGAGAGCAAGAGCTGGGTATGGTAGTACCTCTTAGCACTTGGGATGCTGAGGTCAAAGGACTATCATGGATTTGAGACCAGTCTGTGCTACCCTGTCTGAAGGAAGAAGAAGGGAAAGATGGGAGAAAGGAGGAAGAGACACTGATTGATTCTGAAATAGTCAATGCTGAGGACATAGGGCCTCGCACATGCTAAGCAAGCCCTCTATTATGAAGCTGTACTCCTGCCCTGGAAAGGTGCTTTGGGCAATGGAAACAAGAGCCTTTTCTGATGAGCTACTGACTATGCATAGACATCATTTCCACCTAGCAGCCAGGATAACCTGGGAAAACATGGTCTTTCACAAAGTTCTATCCTTAAATCCTCAAGAAAGAATATGTTTAATTTAAATGCTGCAAAGATGTTTCACTAAGTCATGGTATGCGGTGATTCACAATCAGTAAAGACTGAGGAGAAGCACATCAGATTGGAATTGTCTTTTACAAATTGTGTTCTTCAGGACACTCTTTTTTTTTTTTTTTGAACCTGAGTTTCTCTGTTTATCCTTGGCTGTCCTGGACTAGTCTACCTCAAACTCACAGAGGTCTCCCTGCTTCTGCCTCTTCGAGTGCTGAGATTACAGGTGTGTGCCACCACACCTAGATATGACACTTAATCTTATTCTTTCAGGAAGTTAGATAATATCTGCAGTTTGATATTGTTGACATATTGACTGTGTTGGCCATGTAGGCCTGCAAGAGACCTACAAAAGATCTCTGGATGGCTGGATATGCAGCAGCTATTCAAAGGACTCTTCTTATTTCTGCACTCCCTGAGAGCTGGCGAGACTGCTAGGAAGAGATGAACAGCACAGCGCCGCGGGCTGGGCCTCCAGTGTGCCCTTTCAAAGCACTCTTTCCACTGAGCGCTGGTAAAGGTGACAAAGAGGTTAACATCACAGCAAACTGCAAAGTGCAGCTTTAACACCCGGAATGCATTCCGAACACAGTCATTTCAAAGGTAATGGCATCTACCCCATCGTTCCAAATCAAATTTCCCAAAAGTAATTCTTGTAGCCCTCTAAAAGATCTTTATTCCATGCAAGCTCACTTTTCTACTTAGCTTCCATGCAGAATTCATAACGCTTTGTGGGGTACGTCATATGAGCAATTTCAATGTGCTTTAGTGGGAGTGATATGTAATCTCCTGAAAATTCACCCCTTAAATAAGTCCTAATGGCTTGGAGAACAGCGGTCGCTTAAGTGGATCTATTTAAAAAGGCTGAGTGGGTCAGTGATGGGGATGGAGATAACTTTCAGCTCTCCCTTCAGTTGCAGATCAAAATACCCTGACGGTCCAGTTTGGCCATTATCACACACACTCTCTCCTGCATGCATGCACCTCTGGGCCACTGCCCGTGGCAGCAACAGTCGCTTTGTTCCATTGATCCGAATCAGATTTTCTGACAAAGGAGAGGTGTTCAATCCTTCTCATCACTTCCTTAATGAAGAATCCCAGCTGTATGCAGGGCTTGGAGCAGCTACAGGTATTCTAGAGAAACTGATTCATACAGAACATTAGGAGATAGTTCTTTTTGTCAGAAAGAAGACCCCTATGCAGTCTTCATGGTGAGACCTGCTGTTTTAGATTTTACCTTCAACAAGGTAAAATTCCTGACCCTATTTTGGAGGGACTGCCCAGTGATGCCCTGTTCTAACTTCACTTGCCTCTGCCCCTTTAGTTGTGAGAATCTGGGCAGTTCGGGGATGTCGCAGAGGCTGAGTCTTCTCAGGTGAGGCAAAAGCGCTGATTACGCTGGAGCTAGAGACCTTGTCAGGGGCCAGGGACTGTGAGCTGTGATTAGGCTGCAAAACAACGGACTTTTCAGGCCCATGGTATTTCCATTTTGAGGGAGGAAAAAAACAAACAAACAAACAAACAAAAACCAAAACCTTTCTCACAAAACAATTTAAAAGCCAAATATTTCTTCATTGTTTAGAAGAAAGGAAAGAGAATTGGGAAGAGGAAAACAACTTATAAATAATCTGTGGTGTGTAATCAGTGTGGAGATGCTGACAGAGGCCGTGAAAGCAGGGTAACAGGCCCCTGGGCTTTCTCCCATTCCTCTCTCGAGCCTTCAGCTTCAGACACATATGTTCCCTGACTGTCCTGTATATCCAGCTTTATGGGTCAGGCAGTGGGTGGCATTTCAGACATGCTTTCCTAGCCTTGTGAGAATTCAAAGGCACAAAGTCATTTCTATATTTGCAGAACTGCAATAAACTGGATAGCCATCAAATGGTAAAGATAAACGGAAGGAGTCATTGTATTGGGAAAAAAAAAAAATCTTACTTCCAGACTCTTAGATTATGAGTGTGACTGAACCAGGGTCTGGAAAGGCGGGCTAAGAATTAGCAAGTGCTCGCTCTTCCTAACACAGTAAGGGCGGGCCAGACTGCATTCCTGCAGAAAGGAATGCTCTTATTAAACTCAGTACAGAATAAATCAATGGAGGAGCTTAATAGGCAGGTTTTTCCCCGACCCCTGTGCTTAAATATTCTAATATTTTGATGTTTGTCAATAGCTCCCCCTCACCCTTTTGGTAGGTATGACTGTACCTCCATGTTTCTTTCTGCTTATTTCAAAGTTGACATTTTACAAGTTATTTAGGAACTGTTGAACCATGAAACTATTTTTTATTGTCAAAAATGCTGAACGGTGAAATAATGACTACTTTCACAGTTTGCCTCTTTATTTTATAATCTAGTTGAGCGACTAAATTTGGATCTGGAGTAAGGGACTTTCTCTTGTGGGAAATGAGTTATTTCCCCCCACTGCCCACAGGTTTATGAACATTTGAATGTAAATATAGGAATATATGAATGATTTAGGAACATAAACATATCACCACTGGCCATAGTCATGTGCTTTTTACTTGAACCACAATGTGGGTTTGGAACAGGTTTGTGAATGGAGCAGGTTTTCATGTAAATGGGATCAAGAAGTACCAGTGGTTAGCTATTCAATGGATCAGACAATACCACCCTTGCTGGAAATGCTTGAGGAAGAATTTAATCCACGGACCTAATATTCGAAAGTCGACTCATGCCTCATTCCTGCGGCCCACTGCAGATCTCATTGACTGACAATGAGAAAGGATGGTGAGACTTAGCGTGATCTATTTAAGTGTGGCGGCACTTCAGTATGGCATTGAGTATTTCGGGTTTCATCTTGGAGGCAGCATCCACAGAGAGCTTTCTTTAGCTTCTTTGCGACCTTCTAAATAATTTGGCATGGCCTGCCTGCCATGGAAGCAGCATCATGCAATAACCCCCGTGGAGCACCACCAAGCCAGCTGGATGTAAGAAATACTTGGAAGCCTGAACTTCGCTGCCAGATGTCCAGCCCGGATACTACACTTCACTGTACTTTCCAAGTTTCAAAGCAGCTTACCCGTCTCCATGAATGCAAAGGGAGACCATTACCAAAGCATTTCTTTTGGAAATAATATCAGCATCACTGTAAGAGTAGCTTAATGTTTTACATTTACAAATGGGAAATTACAGACAGGCTGACATTCTGGCACTTACAACACCAGGGTGAAAAAAAACTTAACCATCGATTCATGCATAGAAAAGCCATTTATAAGATGAAGCCTCGGGTATTTAGTTCATTTGAATCCATAAATAATTCTTACGTAGCTACCAGATGCATGCGTATAAGATGGCATTGTGTTACATATCTGTAATGAAAGCCTTAGACTGAATATGAACCATGTTTATCAATTCTATAAGACTGTTGTCGGCTAGGTATTTTTAAAAAAGACTATTTTTCAAACACGTTGTGCAGCTATTTTTAACCCAACTGAGAACATTAATCAGGGGGGCTTAACTCTTATTTCCTCTGCTGGTTCCCCTGGTGCAAACAGGATGACACGGTGTGAGTGTCCAAGACACAAGTCTGACAAAGCCAGGCCATCCTGATATTTGTGTGAGGACAATTTAACTGTAAATCTCTTGACCAAAGCTGCCTTTCCCAAATCATCAGAGCTCGTCGGGTGTGATCCTCATCTGAACCTTCAGGAAGACACTGCCCCTGTCCCTCTTGCTGTTGCTCTCTGATCTCACTCCCGAGCTTAATCTGATCTAATCCTGCCTGCATTATCTTCATCTGTGCAATGAAACCTGGAGGCTCCTTTCTCATATACCGTGAGGAAAGGCATTTACTAAATTACTTGGTAGATCACGTGGGTTGGTTTGAGCTCCTTTTTGATTAGATGGGGGAGGCACGTTGTCATGATCAATCTGGAATATAGGCTTTTCCCATATTTGGAAAGGGGGGGGGGTTAGCCATCAGTGCAGGGAAACCAAAATGGCCTTGGAAAAGTAGAAATTTTCAGCTAAAAGTAGAACAAAATATGTACTGTTTACTGCAAAGCACAGACACAGACACACACATACACACACACACACCCACATGCACGCATGCACGCACATGCGCACGCACTCTCTCTCTCTCATACACACACAAATAATAGTGATAATATAGGGAGAAGGGAGGGAGGTTAAGAAAAACCAAAGCTAACCCCATTGACTTTGATGGGAGAGTTGTACATTGGAAATTGTATTTGAATCATGATAAGGTAACTTCCTGGAAAACTACTTCCTTCTTGCTGAAGTCTGTTCTGGGTTCTGGATCTTGGGCTTGGGCTCATCAGTGTGACTTGAGGTCCAACTCTGAACCTGCTGTTTTTAAATCTAAAGTAGTCACCATGATGGTAAAACTACAAGTAAGAGCTTATGCTGAACAGACAGTACCTGCTTATGGCCCATGTTTTCCATAAGCTGAAATAATCACTCAGACTGAATAAAGAAATGCACAAAATTAGTTGAAATAATTACAAAGGTCTGCACACATTTATTGTGTAACTTGGAATCACACTTCCATTAACAAATAAGTAGACTGGGCTAAGGCAGAAGGCAAAATGTCTAGGGTAAATTTATTTTTAAAAACTCAGACACTTGACAGAGTTGGATGTTATTTGCATAAGAACAAAATGTGATTGTGTAATCACTGTGTTCTGTATAACTAAATATCAGCACTGAGTGAACTGAAAACAGCAGATATCAAACACACTTTAAGAAAGGCTATTTTCCCCAAGATACTCCACGATATGTTTATCTGCCAGAGAGTATATACGTGTGTACACATGCATATTCCCTCATATCGATGGCCAGATCTCCCCCAAGAAGTAAGCTAATTGAGCTGTTTGTGTTGATAAACTCCTTTTTCTCCAGACTGTTCCTCTCCGAGCCATAATTATTTGCAATTTGCCTAAGTCGTCCATTTACTGATACGTCAAGCATGAAACAGAGGCAATTCCAGAAAATGGAAATGCTTCTGAAAATCAATCTTTGGGAAATAATGTGGTAGAAGTTACTGTGTGATAGAAGAGTACCTTCTAACTGTCACGTGGAGATGAATATTAATTCACTGAGGTTAAGGTGGCTTTGTGCTTCATTTGTTGACTTGGCTTAGCCATCAGAAAAGCAGCGCGGCCCAATTACTCCAGCAAAGCTATTTTTTTTCTCCCTAACAGGAGTTTTATGATTTTTATATACTTACCAGTCAGCACACATAACAATGTCAAAATGTCCTTCCAGTTGAGAGACATCTGTCTCATTATCCCATCGTAAAACGCTTGAGGAGAAAAAGATTTTAAAAATTATACTTAGGGTATTTTTTTAACTTTTGATTTTGAGCTATTAACATTATTTTTTGTGGCACTTGGAATTATTTAGAAGGTATATACAAATTATTTCAAAAGATATAATAAAAAAAACCTAGGATATAACTGTCTACTATATTTTATTTTGTCTTTAAATGTAAAAGAGGAAGTATTCTCTACTGAAATGGGAGAGTTGAGTTTTTGCTAGGTTTTACAAGCTTTTGTAGACAAAGTAGATTCTTACCTCGGTTGTTAGAATGATTTCTGACCCTTATCAACAATGAGGAAAAAACTGAAATCAAAACATTCTCCATCTGGCTGAAATATGAATTTATAAGGGAATAAAAATTTATAAAAACAAGTCATGTGAAATTTATTGTGTATCTATCTTGCCTGTCATGTCAGTCACATTTCTTATTGATGCAATGAACAATGTGGCAAGATGGAAGGAAAGAATAGCCCACTGTATGCGGAAGTTCTCAGGCCTTTAAGTACACTTAGAATTCCTCCCTACCGACAGTCCAAAAGGAGGCTCACACATTAAACCTTTCATCGATAACAACAGCTGATAGCATACATCGGAGAACTCTAACAACACTTACAAAGCAAATCATGTTCTATATTCCCCTCAGTTGATAGCTGCGATGATTAACATTTATCATAATAAAGCATTTTTAAGGATGTTTCTCCCACTCACCAAAACTGTGATTTGTGATACTATATTTTAAAAATAAAATTCTGCGGCAATTATATTTGCTTATTTGGGTGGAATTTTCATTTCTTCTGTCTTCCCAGAGACACAGTCATGTTTGAGTAAAAAAATGAGACTTAGCCATGGTCAGTCCAAAAATTTTTTTCATACACACTGATGGACATAAACAGTAATGACATTCTTAAGGTATACAAGGTTAAACACATCAACTCATCACCAAGGAGGCTAAGGACCAGCTGGCCGCTCATTCTTTTGACTCACAGTTACTGAGCACCTACTGTATACTGTGTGTCAGGCCCTGTGCTGTGCTCCCGCCTTCTCAGTACAGAGGCAGCCTGGCAAGCCTTCCAGACATGCCAAGGAAGGTCACCTCCTATGACACAAGGGCGAGCTTTACAAATAGCTCTTGTGTTCTTCTACTCCCTAGGCAGAGGAAGAGCCAAGTGACAGAGAAGGCCAGCAAATCCCTAAGAGATCAAGGCTTACTTTACTTCTGGATTCCTCAGGAACTCCAGGCACCCACCAACACCAGCTTTTCCCGGACTTGGAGGAGAGTGCACCTGCTCAGCCCATATCAGACACTTGAGGCCCTCAGGAGTTGACAAGTCTGTACACATGATGGTTTAAAACACAGCCGCTGGGGTAGGCAGAGGCGTGAGGGTGGTGAGTTTGAGGCTAACCTGGGCGCCAGAGCAGGACCTTGTCTCAAAAGACGACAGCATCGCAAAGAAGTGTAGTTCCAGAACAGGTCTTCACAGGCTACAAACTCACTATACTCACCATATATGTTTTGACAGAAAGTATTTAAATCACTCACAATTTACCCTTTTTACCAGTGACTATTAGATGCTTCTAATTCATATGCGATTGCTAAGGCAGGAGAGGACAAAGGGCAGGGCACCCTGTGACGGTATTGAACACTGGATTCCTGAGGCACTTCAGCCTCCTGGTTCAACAAACGCTAACTGGAGTGATCAGGTCTAAGCGGCATTTGGCTAAGAATCAACATAGAAGCTGTGATGAGTCACAGCTTCTGTAAAAGAAATCAAAACACCCTATGTGGCCACATGGCCTACAGAACATTTCCCAGGGGCACAGTCCTTGGTTTCCAAGGCTTAGGCCAGGCTGTCTCTCTAACTATGAGCATGAGTTAGAGAGAGTGGCAGTGGAGTTCAGCTTTGGTACAAGAAACACACATAGGCTCAGACCTTTGTTCTGACCTTTAGTGGCAGTGTGCATCTGCACAGTTGCTCAGCCACACTGGGTCTGTTCTCTGTAGAATGGGGATTAGAATGGCCACTTCCCTGAGCTCTCAAATGGCCATTTCCCTGCACTCTTGAAGAGCACCTGATGCTGTATTGTGCGCACACTGCATAACCGAGAATGGTGCCCCTTAGATTTGCTTAGTCCAAATTCTATCTTGGAAAGGCAGATGATAACTCATTCCTTCCAATTCTCTTTCTTTCCATGCAGAGACTACCAAATATGGACGGACACACACACACTCACACAGCCACCTTTTGGCTATGGGAGAAGGACCGATATTTTTAATGTTTGTTACAGAACCACGAATTTGCAAAAGTCAGTACAAATTAATGGGTAAATGATATTTTAAAGGGAAAAACAAAACAAAAAATGGCAGTCAACTGGAGAAAATGGGGGTGAGAACCCAGCTACCGAGAAGGTGAGGCAGGAGGCTCACAAGCCCAGGGCAAGTCTGGGCAACTCAGCAAGACCCTGTCTCAGGTTAAAAGGGGTGCGGGTGGGACTTGAGATGTTACCTCAGTGGCAGAGCCTCTGCCAGGCACAGGACCCTGGGTTCAGTCCTTAGTATCCAAAATAACAAGAACAACTCAAAAGCACTCTAAGTCTACTGGCTGCTACACTCATGTTTCTAAAACGTTTACTTTCAGTTCTTAAGCTTGTTGCATATGCAACTCACAACCTGGCTCCCACCCGTGGGCCTCACTGAGCAGTCCTGTTCTAGGCTTCATCTTTATCAATAAACCCTCACGCACTGTCAGACTAGCCCTTACTATCTTTCCCAGCTTACTTCTACAAGTTTTTCTGTCCCAACCAGTCCTCAATCTCTCTATCCACAGTCTCCTGATCCCGTCAATATGGCATTGCCATCCTTCTTTAGTGCTTACTTTTCTTTCCTGTCCAGCTTAAATTCCATCTTAGTCAGTACCTCAGGTATACTCTCTACTCCCTCGTTTCTGCCTTTCTTATAGCTGCTGTCCAGCTCACTGACAGACCAGTCTGTATCCATGTGCCTGAATATAGCTGCAGACCACGCATGCTCCCTTGTCTGCGTCAGAAAAGGGCAGGCCTCCCATGGCATCAAATGAGTACAGTGCAGTGAGTTACAATAAGACTAGGCACAGACCTTTATATCAAGGCTGGGCAAGATAACACAGTAGAAGGAAAAGGGTCTCAGGTGCCGGCAAAAGAGTCAGAGACTGCCCCACAATCCACTGTTAGGAGTCCCACAAGAACACAAAGCTACATAACTATAACATATATCCTGCTTCTTATATTACCCTTGAGACTGCCAGTCAGACATGGATGTCCCTAATCTCCCACAAATGCACACAATGCTCCTAGCAGTACCTGCACCCCTCGATTCTGTCTTCTGCCCATTTTCTCACTAATTTCCCTAACCAGGACTTTCTTCTGGAGAGCCCCCTTCTCATCTCCTCTAGAATGAGGCTCCAGTAGTTTCCCTTCTCTGACCATTCCTGCCAGGAGTTTATTCTCTGGATTCTTCCCATCAGTCTTCAGCTGGGCAATTTTTTCCTTTTCATGAACCACCGTTTTTGAATGCTACCACACCAGCTACTGCCCTATTGCCAAACTCCTCAAAAATGTTGTTTATACTTTGTGTCCAGGTCTTCTTCTCTCATTCTCTATTAAGTCTACTTCACTCTAACCAAATTACTCTACCACAAGTGGTCCATCAAACTCACCCAAGATCTCCACATTGCTGAATCCAAGTCAGTTCTGTCTTCATCCTCCCTTACCTACCAGCCTGAGCTTCAGATCCAGCCCCCACCCCCCGCCCATCTTAATGCCTGCACTTGGATTTCTCATGGATACCCAAACTTCACAAGTCCAGATTTGAACTCCTGATCCTCTGTCCCTGTATACTTCATTCATGGTTTTTCTTTACTCATGTGAATGGGAGATCTACACCTCCTAATCTTTCTAATCCTTTCAAATGGTTCCTCTCCCTGGTGATGAAGCATTCAAATATATGAAGCTATGGGGGGCATTCCTATTCAAACTACCACAGACGTCGATCTTTAAACTCTGGGGCAGCGATGTATTTCCAGTGCCTAGAACAACACACGATAGCTGCTCTGTTAATATAACATCTGAATGAGCACACAGAAGGCGTTCAATAACTAGAGGTTGCTGTTCTTAAGTTGTTCTCTGAATATATGTGAAAGCTACTGAAAATGTCTTCTGAAGACTTGTGCTTCCAGCAAAGATGGTATAACAGGGACCTCTTTTACATCTTAACCAAAAATGACTGTAAACAAAAACAATTTTAAAATTATATTTAGAGAGAATACACACACACACACACGTTCCCAAGACATTGGCTAGTAACAACAGTGAATAGTCATTAATCCTTGAAAGAGTATGAATGAATAAAATAAGCCCCACTGTTACCCCAGTGTAACACCTTTGAGGAAATCCTAGGTTGTAGCAGAGAAAAAAAACCTGAGATAGGACCCAATAGTTTTGGAGCTAAACAGATGGAATCCAGGGACCAGGGAAGCCAAGGTGGCTAGAACAGAGGACCATAAAGAAGAAAGCTGTACAGAGAGAACGCAGGGCTCAGGTAGATGGCTCCCACAGAGCAATCTGTAAGAAACTCTGTGTGTGTGTGTGTGTGTGTGTGTGTAAACTACTTGAGGTTAGGTAAAAACCACGTGACAGTGTTGCGAGGACTACAGCAGAGATCATAGGGCAGGGCCAGTGCCTGATTTCAGCCCACGGCCCACAAAATCTTAGAATTTACAGCGCTGGCAGAGTGCCCAGAGGGATCTTGCCTCAGAAGCGGGAAATAATTAGTCCTAGAGAAAATGCTGATCTGCTGGATGAAGCAGATTTAAAAAACAAGGGAATGAGTGCCACGTTAACATACTGTATCCCAGAACAAAACTCAAAAATATTTACAGGAATACAAAGACACTCAGATCCCAGTAAGTTAAAATTCGAAATGCTTGGTGTGTAATCAAAGATTGATAG